TTATTTAAATTTAATAAAAGGAAAATTTTTAAATTTAAAGTTAAAAAATATTTTCAAAAGGAAATATACTAGTTAAATTTTTTTTATTAAAATAAAGTCAGATTAATTTAAATATATTTAATTTAATTTAGTTAAATCAAAATAGTATAGTTAAATATGCTTTGAAACTGGTTCAAAATATACAAAATCAGTTTCAAATTAATTTTGCATCAAATCAAATCAGATTCAAATTTGAATTAGATCAAATCAAATCAGATTCAGATTCAAATCAGATTGAATCAAACTGTTATGGTTTCAAATCTGATCTGATCAGTTTAAAATGAATTGAATCCAATCTAATTCATATTTATAAAAACTGAATTGAATTGAATCTAATTAAAATCCAATTTAATTTAATCCATTGTGATCACTGGTGCTAGATAATAATAGATTCCTAAAGTATTTGGTATATAAAATTTTGCAGATTATTTATGTTCCTTTTTGAGAAATAAAATTTATAACTCTTCACTTTAATAGGGACAAAAGTTAGAAAATACTATAAATCAATGATTTGAATAATAGAAAACAATTGTATATAGTTTTTTAATAGTTATTAATTTAAAAATTTTAATGTTTCCTAGTGAGGAACATTTGACTTTTGTCTCTACTTCCTCTTTAGAGACCTATTTTTAGTATTAGATAATCAAAAACTCTCTTAAAAGATACTATATCTGTAGTCTTTTTTCTCTAGTTATGTATACTGGAAAAGAGGAGGAAAAGTAAAGGAGGATTATTGTTTATTGTCCAATAAGTCCTAATCCAGGTTTCTTTATTCTTTTTATATAACCAATAATATTATAGATTTCATGTCCTATATCTATCTACATAATTGGTTTGCAACTTATAGTGGATCTCAGGTTCTTATAAATACTGAGAAAATAAATTCAGATATGTGAGGTGACTAATAGGGACTTGTTTACATTTTGGATTGTTGACATGTTTTTATTATTCAATTACTGTATCAGAAACTTTATGCTATTCAAAATTCAGGATTAAATTGAAATAGACAAAATTCCCTAGAGAAAATCATGAAAGAGTACTCTTAGAATATTTATTATAACAAGAAAGTAATTGGGTTGTCTTTTAAAAAGTTTCTTATCACAAATTAAGCTCTATAGTATTTCTATGACAAGTAAAAAAGTGATAGAGAAGTTAAATCTACTTCTTTTCAAAACTTTCTTGCCATTGGTAAGAAGAGTAAAGTTGTCTTTCTGACTACTAGAAGATAAGTTTTTTTGTAGTAAAATATAAAAAGAGATAATAGAAGTTGTCAGGTGACTCTTGAGAACTTTATTCTTAAGTTGGTTTAGAGAAAGTAATAAGACTTTATTAACCATGAAGTATAAAACTTCTTGTGAATATCTTTTTTGTATGTAGTCAAAGGATTAGTGGAAAGAGTTGTGATTTTTGAAAAAAAAATATAATATCTAAAATTAAAAATATTAATTATTTAAAAAAAAGTTTTAAAATTTGAAGAATAAATAAAATTTGAGAATTGAAAGTTAAATTAAACTGATATTAGGTAACTAAGATTTTAATCTTGGTTAAAACCTTGGTAAGGGATTTGCAATGGTAACCTGTAGGCAATTTAGTTTATAAGTAAAAAGATATTTATGTGAACAGTAAACAGAGTGGCAAATCACTTCCAAAGTTGTATCCAAAATCAAATTGACAAAGTGAGTTAGATATAGATAAAATATATATATATATACTGTATATAAAATCATAGATTATGATTTTAGAAACTGAAAGGTATTACATATGTAGGTTAGGTTATTAAGTTGAAAGGTCTACCACAAATGCTGCGTATGTGTATGAAGTAACACTTGAAGCCGTGAATAATATAAAAGCGTCATCGGTAAAACACATAGTTCTGGTGAAAGAACGTTAATGACTTATTCAAAATTTCGCAAAGAATATGTATTTTTTAAAAGGTCGGCTTAAATACTTCATCGGGAAGAATAGTTTTGACACAATCGAATGTTTGTCCTACCGTTTAATTAACTTCTGGTACATATTCTTAAGCTGTCTACGCTCATTCTATGATCTCTGAGCGACAATTCATAAAGCCAAAATCCACGCTTACGGAATGTGAGAGGCCTGCATATTTGGCTAATATATATTGCAATGAGATAATAGACGCTATTTATCGGTTCTCCAAATCTCGATTTTACTTTCTGATAGCCAACTGCAATTACTATATTTCCCCTTCAACAAGTTCAAGGTTGATCCAGACATGTAGGCACCATGGAGTTAATCAATCATGCAACCTTTTTGAATAAATTCTCGATACATGTCAGCCAACAGTTTCTCTTATGCGTCTCCTAGGACTGCCTCATAATTCGAGTATCTTCTAGCTAATTTACAAGACATCAACCCAAAGTATATTAATTTATTAAAGTTCGTTACATGATAGAATTTTCTTATTTTTGGGACAAAATGATAATATCAGATATTTTATTTGCAAAATTCCAAATAGCAATTATAATCTTTGTTAAGTACTGAAAAATTAATCGATTTCGTTATGCATAAGCTCACATAAACATTCTTTGGTAAAGTCATGCTGTTATTATTATTCCGTTCTAACTTGGATGAAGACAATTAACATATTAATTCACAAGGAAGATCGTGTTACACCTTCTCTCCCTATTACGTTACTTTGTCTTATTACTACCTTCTGATCCCTGGCACTTATCGTTCTCCGTATTTTCCAACGATTTGGACTTGGATGTATCTGTACGAATGTTGGAAGGAATATCAGGTTATAATGCATTGTAGAGAATCGAATATTTTAATACGTGTACGTCATTTTTGACTGTTACCGTTCTTCAGGCACGTTTTATACTACATTATATGTTTTGATTCATCGATTCAAATGTGAGTCTACATTCGAAAGTGTTGGTTTAATCAAGAAGGTTCTTACATTTGACAAATATTCATTAATATTAAAAATTATTTTAACACACCACCGGGGAAGTCGATATATAATTTGAACTACAGATTCCTTCGCTAAGGCAATCCTTCTGTACTACGTAGTACGATCAATAACATTGATAACAGATTTTTTTATTCTCATCAGAAAATACGACAGGAAATATGCTAAGGACTGGCATGCATAAATTAAAACATTATTTCGGTTATAGGTCCATTGTGTGTGTCCTTATCGAAAGTGTCTTTTGATTTGTATATTTCTGCGAGATGAAGTTAATCTAAAACTGTAATTAGACGAGTAATTGTAGTAACCGAGCTCGTCTCTCAAAGACTTTTCTTCCGACCATCAAAGCAACCGTGCCAAAAAGAAAGAAAGGTCAAACAAAAGATGAAGATGTAGTCTTTGATAATGGGGAAAGTCACCAATTGATGATTCGCGCCGGATTCATAAGGCAGGTAGATGTATCTGGTGCCCAATTATAAAAGCAATTTTAAACTATCATTATTTTTTCTGACCACTCCGTTGCTGATAGTCTTCGTCAGGGATCTACACATTGCTTCCATTTGCATTACGATCCCTTGAAAAAATAAAAGGGATTATAGATCAGGAGTTGGGGAAAATTGGTTCTTTTTTTTTTTTTTATGCTGGCTATCGTTAATATTGATGCATCTTCCAATAATTAGTTTGCTTACTTAAATCTTGCAATTAGGGGCTCAAAAACTGCTTCTGCCAATATTGTTAAGTGCTAACGAGTGGAAAAAAACGGGTCGGTGGATGACTTCAGGAAACGAGGTTTGCCTTATCAATTTGTCTGAGGTCACACCGAGTTGGGATCTTATAATTTATTTGGAATTTTCAATAATAGCTCTTTCGACTTAAAGATCGCAAGGACTCGGAATTTTGTCTGGCACCAACACATGAAGAAGAAATCACTCAACTTATTTCAAATGAAGTCGTGTCATACCGGCAACTTCCTCTACGTTTATATCAAATAGGTATACTAATAGGTATATGGAAAATGTTCACTGCTGAATTCTTAAAGTTTGTTCTTGTCACAATTATAGGTATGAAGTATCGTGACGAAATACGACCACGTTTAGGATTACTTCGTGGACGCGAATTCATCATGAAAGATTTATACACATTTGATAAGACCGAAGAATTGGCATTAAAAACTTATGATGAAGTTGTTGAAACGTATAAAAGAATATTTTCCCGAATTGGGATTCCGTTTGCCATTGTTGGTATAATTTGGAATTTGTATGTTACCAGAACGAAATTAATGAATCATTAAAATTACAGGCCAATGCCGACACTGGAAATATCGGTGGGACAAAATCTCACGAATTCCATTACTTATCCGCCGGTGAGAAATAAGTGAGCTCTCTCCGGAAACATCTTTTCATGCTACAGTATTAACATCTATGTATCATACCTCTATGGTGTTTCAGTTGGAGAAGATTTGATATTATACTGTACGCGGTGCGGATATTCTTCCAACGAAGAGCGGGCAACTGGTATTCTCCCTACACCGTCAACTTTCTCTGACATAAACCCAACAATGAAAATTGGCATCACTAATGACAAAAGACGTTTTGTAATAATATTGGGAAGCGGACGTGAACTAAATGCATTTAAGCTAAAGGAGGACCTACCTGGAGACTCTATAGAATTATTGAATCTCGGGGATCACGAAAATGTTAAGGAGTATCTTCGTGCTAATCTAACTTCTACATTGAACATCCTTGTGGATAAAACATTTTCCGCGGATATCCTTAGTTTGGATTCGCTTTTGAGAAACGAGGTAGTTAACGAAGTCAGTTGAAACCTGTCGACATTCGTCATGGTGATTATCACAACACCAAAACTTGTGATGGTTGCCCTGTCTGCTTTAGCTCCTCGGAAATCGACAATTTTAATCCTCTGAAAAGTAGTCGTGCTATAGAAGTTGGACACACCTTTTTATTAGGGACAAAATATTCCGAACTATTAAAAGCAAGATATGCATCAGAAAATCCTGAAATACCAGGTGAACTACTTCCAATTCAAATGGGTTGTTATGGTATTGGAATTTCAAGAATTCTCGCGGCAATTGTCGAATCCTCTCACGATGAAAATGGAATAATATGGCCTACATCCGTCGCCCCATATAAAGTTTGTATCATTCAAGGATCCAATGATCCGAGAGTTATGGAAACAACACAAGTCTTGTACGACATGTTAAACTCAGAGTGTGAAGAATTGAAGGGAGAAGTGATAATTGATGATCGTGTGAGTTTATCCTTCGGATATCGAATGAAGGATGCTGAGCTAGTTGGTTATCCGTGGACAGTGGTTCTAGGGAACAATTATTTAGAAAGTGGTAAAATTGAGGTAAATGAAAGGCGTAGCAAACAGAGAAATTGTTTTGATTTCGACCACATAAAAGAGTCACGGTTTTGGTTGAGAGCATGGTGATCGCTAGTTTAATTGCATTAATGTTTATGGAACAAAGATTTGAATGAAGTTTTGAAGTGGCTAGGCATATTTCCCCTTGACCTTTTTTTATCATGATATTTGGAAAAGCTTGTAAGAGAGTCCATCATCAAGTCCTGGAAATTGTAAAATATTGGATTAAACTTAATTTCAAATCAAAATAATTTAGTAACAGTATATATTGTATATAATATGCGGTATGCAAAAATACCACACATATATTGGAAATTATTTTTATTTTTTTTAAAATAAACTAGTATACAGTATAATACAAATAGTATAAATAATACAAATAAAATTATGTGAATATATATTATTTTTTAAGTATATTTAAGCCTGTTTTATTGCATAATATAATTATATATTATATTTTTTAGTTTATTTTCATAAACCAAGCTTGATTGAATTTATTACAATTGTAAAGCTCTTAATAAAATTTAAAATTTATTTGCTCATTTTTTAAAAATTTAAATACAGATATTATTTTGCATAAATATATTTTTCATAGAACTGTTATTTTATTTTATATATAAATTATTTTTATATAATTTTTCTATCAAAGATTAAGCTAGTCAAAAAAATAAAGAAATTTGTAATAATAAGCCTTTCAAGTTAATATTTAAAAATACAAATATTAAAAAATTTTTATAACTAAATTTTTAATAGTATTCTAAATCTTAAAATACAAATACAATTTTAATAAATAAATTAATAAAGAATGTTTCAATTTATGAATTATAATAATCAAAACTTATTATTTTAATTAAAAAAATATTAAAATTTCAAAAATAAATAATAACATTTATTTTATATAATAATAATATTTAAATAACTAATATATAATATAAATATATAAATATACAATTACAAGTTTAATTCAAATTTTATAAATAAAATTTATAAATTATTATTAGTGATATAATATAAAAAAATAGAATTAAACAAATTATTAAATATAAAAATATTTTAATATAATAAACAATTATAATAAAATTTAATTTATATATTATAAATAAAATAAAATATTGATATACAATATATATAAATTAAATTTTAAATAGTATCAATATGTTTTTTAAAAAATATCATATAGTATTAATTACTTTAAATAAATAAATAAACATATATATATAGTTGCTTTCAAAGATTTAAGTTTATTTATTATATTTTTATTGTAAATTTTAATTTTATTAATTTTTAAATCTTTGATTATAAATTAAAAATTATAAAATTTATATATATTATATTTTAATGCTAACTTTATTCTTTATTTTTTTAAAAAAAATTTATATATATAATTTTAAAGCTTTATTATTATTAAGAATTTTTTTTCTTTATTAGATTTTTATTTTTGAAGAATTTTGATTAATTATTATTATGAATAATTTAATATTTAATAAAAAAATAAAAAATTTAACAATAATAAAGCTTTAAAATTCTTTATAAATTTTTTTTTTGAAAAATATAAGAAATAAAATAAGTATTAAAATATAATTTATAATATATAAATTTTATAATTTTTAATAACATTTAAAAATTTAAAAATTGATATTTAAAATTTAAAATAAAAATATAGTAAATTAACTTAAACTTTTAAAAGCAATCTTATATATTAATATATTAATTTAACTATTAATAAGATATAATATAATAAAAAATTATAAACAATACAATCAATTTAGAGTAAACAAATAATTAAATTAAAATAAAATTAAAATTTTAACTATATATTTTAAATTATAAAATAATAATATTAAAATTTTTAAAATCGATATAATAATTTTTGCAAAAAGTTAATTTTTATATATTATATAACAAATCTATAAATTTTTAGTAAAAAATTAGTATAACTATATACAAAAAAATTTTTTATTAAAATAATTATAAATAATGCTTTTTAAAATATTATTAAGTAAATAAAAACAATTAATTTTTAAATGCTAAAAATATTTTTATAAATATTAAAGTTAATAAATTTAAAATAATTAAAAAAATATAGAAAATAACTTCAAAACAATAGAAATAAAAAAAATGATTTTAATAAAAAAGATAAATAAATTTAAACTAATAATTTTTCTAATAAGTTATTTTAAAAACAAAAACAATAATTTTTAATAATAATTAATGATCCAAACAACTTGTTATTAAAAAATCCATATTTTTATTATCGATAATTCTATATTTTCGAAAATTTAATACTATTATTTTCTATATTACAAAAGTTTTTTTCAGATTTCTTTTGTTATTAAATTTATTTATTGCAATGTCAAATTTAACTCTTATTTTTACTAGTTTAAAAGTTGTATGAAATTAATAATCAAGAAAATTGATTGGTTTGTTTTTTTTATTAATATAGTATATGGTATATTGTAGTAACAAATAATATACTGTAGCTTTAATAACAAGGTTGTCATTTTATGCATATACAATATATGCATTATATCTATATATTTACAATTATTAAACTTTTATTAATTTATTATGCATCAAATAAATACAATCAAATAAATAAAAATAAAAATTATATTACAATAAAAATTGGTTTTTAAAAATATCGATAAATCCACACCACATTGTAATATACTCGTCTTATTACAAAATATGAATTTCGAAAAATGAAATGTTCGTTTAAGCGAGAGTAACATTCGACTCACCAATGCAGTAAACCTTTACTAAATATACTCTTTTTACCTCCCCTAATTGATATTTAACTTTTTTTTTCACTAGGGTCCCAACGGGTAAAGGTTATACATTTGTAAATAGTTCAGTGTTCAGAAATCTTTGTTACTGTACAATATTTATAGAGCATAATAGTTCGTAGATGGTTCGGTGAAATTTTGATTCCGTCATAAGCAGTTCTATGGAACGCTGCTTGGTTCCAACTCTTTAGAGCGGCGTTCCCGTCTCTACTTTGATTAAATATTTATTCGTAAAACTTTAGATTTTTCAGTGAACTATTATAAGTTTGAGTTTTTGCAATAATGCAAAAGAGTTTGAATGTATCATAAACCAGTTTATCTAAAAGTTTTAAATTATAATATACATGTTTTTTAAAAAAAATTACATTACCAAGTTCGAAATTCCATTCATTATGTTTATTAAAGTAACATTATTCATCCCGTAGTTCATTTCAAGAAGTCCATTCAGACCATCGATTTCGATATTTTTTCCAATAAAGTTATCATTTAGCTCTCTCAAAACATGAATGGCTTCATGAGGATTTGATTTTCCTAATGCATTTTGAATTGATGGCTCACTACAAGAATTTACAGTAAATAATTAAGAATTGATTAAACCTTCGTGATCATACTCATGTGAAAAGACTTACGAAAGCCGCAAATAAGGATTATATTTTAATTCTTCTTCGATGGTGCTGGGCACATTGCAGTTTTTAGATTGTGACAATTTCAATTTTTCCTGTTTATTCAGATAATCAGCACGATATATCGTCAGTGAAAAATTAAGATTCATATTAAAACTTACTTGAATAAAGTAATTATTTGTATCTATCGTATTCGCAAACTGATATCAAAAATATTGAAAATAAGATATAAGATAGCGTGTTTGAATACGAATTAGGCGGAGTTGACTCCGAGACACCATACCTGAAGATTTGTCAACATACATTCGTGACCACCATAAACCTTTGTGTCCTTAGGTAATTGTCCTAATATGTTATAAAGGACATTGTACATGTCTTTTGCATCACCTTCAATAAATTTTCCACATCCGCCTAGATATTTGAAGTGTAGAGTCAAATTGATAGCAATTCGATAACGCGAAAAAGGATCCACGAAGAAAACGTTTTCTCACCATTCTGCAATGTATCACCAGTAAATACGGCTCTCTCTATTTCTTCATTCATTTCATTAACATCTCGAACATAATAGCAAACACTACCTTTTGTGTGAGACGGTGTATGTAGCGAACGTATTCTTAATGTGCCGACCTGTTCAGTGTATAGCTAGAACTTAACATGAGGTTAAACAATAAAAGAGAATGAATACAAACATACCGTGAATTCTTCATTATGCTTACAAACGTAATTCAACTCTAAAAATTAAAATCACGAAATCACGATATTTTTCCAAGAATGGATTATAAAGGTCGTCTTGCCAAAGACTTTTTGATTGACTTCATACCTGGAATTCGTGCGTCATGGCCATAAACGGCCAGAGTGGGTCTTTCTGATACCAACTCAACGTTTCCAGAAGAATGACGTCTTCAAATAACGGAAAACAATAAATTAATAACCAATTTCCCTATTTACATGCAATTATATCCAACACTCACTGATGATGATGTGTCGTTAAGATCGATGTTAATTTCGCTCCGGTTTGAGCTAGAACAGCCAAAACCTTTTGTGGTTCAGCTGGATCAACTGCGGCGGCTACACACGATATCAAGTCAAATGTTATAACCAATAAAAAGGACGCTCTAATGTCTAATTCAAATAATAAAAAAAAAAAAAACAATGCAAACCTTCGTTCGCCTTGTTATCAATTATAAGGTAAGAGTAATTATGCTCAAAAATTGGGATCGGAATTATACGCATTTTTTAATATAGTCAAAGAGAACAAAATAAAATATTTACTTAATAAACCAAGAAATTTAGATTTATATAATAATCTTTTGGTACTTCAAACTATCTCTGTTTGTATAATGGCGTCATCATAGCCTTGGCATTTCTTCCATGGAACGACCAATCTCTTGGCATTTCCTTTTTAAATGCGCAGAAATTCTATATGGAAATTGATTAGTCACATGTTCGATGATTTTATGGCTGAAGTTAACCAATATCAAGATATGGTATTTTCTTCCGATGGCGATCCGGGGTGATCACAAGGACCGAAAACTTTCGTACAAGCGATCCATGTGCTGCATTATTCATATGCAGTTTATATTACGTAATTGTGAAACCGAACCATTGTTTACGCATAAGGATAGATGAATAGATAAAATGCATTTCAATGAAAACTGATTAAATTGATTTGGGTAATTCTTTTTGAAGGCGGACAGGGAGTTTTCGGACTCCGTATATACAATATAAATTCCTAAAATAGATATAGCCCCTAAAATTTATATTGTATATACGTATGCACCTATTAATACGTATATAATGCCTAAAAAATGCACGTACTTACACCTATATCACGGGATGATCGTCACGTAACGAAATTTGCGCGAAATTCGCGAAACTGTGAAAATTGACAATAATATTTCGCGGAATCAACTTTATTTCAGTATAATAAGTAGTAAAATTATATATATATGAATAATAAATATTTTTTAATATAATTCTTGAATCTTGGGTAATTTTATTTTAAAATTAGTTAACTTTTGAATAAATAAAAATAACCTATGTTAGATGTTTTATTTTTTAAAAAAAAAATGAAAATATACATAGTTTAATATAAAATAGAACTCTTTGAGTCCTATTTTATATTATTAACAAATTATATTTTCATTAGAATAGTAAAATTGGGTGTTTTTTCTATTCTAATAAGTAACCTTTC